GCCGGTTGAGCTATAGGCGCCGAGCCTCTTTTCCTCTTTTTTGAGACAGAGGTTCACTTGTCACTCTCGGTAGAGTGCCGTGGCATCATGATTCATAGCAATCTTAAACTCTTGGGCTTAAGCGATTCTCTTGCCTCAGCCGCCCAAGTAGCTGGGACTACAGGCGCCCGCTACAACGCCTATTTTTTTTTTTGTAGTTGTCGTTGTTTAGTAGGCCCAGGCTGGGTTTGAACCTGCCAGCTTTGGTGTATGTGGCTGGCGCCCTAGCTATTGAGCTAAGGGCACAGAGCCCCGGCTATTTTTAGAGACGAAGTCTTGCTCTGGCTAAGACTGGTCTCGAACCTGTGAGCTCAGGCCATCCACCTGCCTCGGCCTTCCAGAGGGCTAGGATTACAGGCGGGGTGGGGAGGCGGCTGTGCAGCTGGGACTTGAGATGGAGGCAGCTGGGAGGGCCAGGTTAGTTTGGAAACTCGGCAAATGAGAACAAATGCCTCAGACTTTGGTGCAGAGGCATTTGGGTGGGCTAGAAAAGGACCCAGTGGAGAAAGAAGGTTAGGGTTACTTTCTTCTGATACCCTGCCCCTTCATTGAAGCCCTCTGCAGCCTGATCCTCATTCGTTGAGTTTCCAAACACTGTGAGCCTGTCTTTAGGGTAGCTTTGCAAAGAGGTCAAGAGAGTAGGGTGTGTCTGCTGGGTTTAGTCTTGGCCAGATTCCTGCAGTCTAGATGGTCTTGCTCAAGCTGCACACCTCAGCAAGCCTCTTGAGATCACACTGGTCCCATTCTGTGGGGTGGCTGTAGAGACCAGACAGTGTCATAGTATAGTCATGTGGCATGCAGGAGGTACTCAGTCAGTTTGCTGCTGCTGCGCCCTCAGATGGGAGCCACATCTGAGCTGCAGGGTTAGAGCTCAGGCATGAGCTCTTGCTACCCTCCCCTCTGCCCATGGGTCAGCTGACTCTTTCTGTCTGCAGCTATGTCATGACCGTGGCTACCTGGTGACCCAGGATGAGCTGGACCAGACACTGGAAGAGTTCAAAGCCCAGTTTGGGGATAAGCCCAGTGAGGGGCGGCCACGGCGCACAGATCTCACTGTGCTGGTGGCCCACAATGATGATCCCACCGACCAGATGTTTGTCTTTTTTCCAGGTGAGGGCCCTCCCCTGCTGGTCTGCAGCAGCTGTGTGTCCCTAAGGGGTTACAGTTCTGGTGAAGTCATCTGAGCAACCTGTTCAGGTGCCCGCTGGTACTGCTTAGCCCAGTGTCTACACTAGCCTGGGAGGAAAGCTCCGTTCCCCTTCTTTGCTGTAAATAATCCTGTTGATCTCTGATCCTTGTTATGGTTAGGATCTTTTCCAGTTTCCCTCTCCTTGGTCTCCTCCCTTCCTTAACTACTTTTTCCAGCCAGGAATATAATAAGGGCTTTCTCACTGGGCCCTGGCACCCTTGTGCTTCAGATGTCTGTGCCCCACTGCTCCCCTGTACACCCCAGCAGACAGGGCCCATCTCCATCAGCCTAATTTCACTGTAGACTCTGGTGCCTAATCACTCACCTCCCCAGAACCTGCCTAGCATCAGAAGTCTGCTCGGAGTTGGAGGTCTCTGCTTCACTTCCTGGTCTGTGGGTGGATTGTGGGGTCTCAGCTTCCTGCCCTGGGACCCTACACTCAGGCTGATTTTATACAATGTGGAAACTGAGGCCCTTCATAAGTGGGGCTAGAACCCAGATGTCGTGGGGGCAGCAGGCAGGGCCCCAGGCAGTCAGGCCAGTATATATTCTGTCCTCAGAGGAGCCCAAGGTGGGAATTAAGACCATCAAGGTATACTGCCAGCGCATGCAGGAGGAGAATATCACCCGTGCCCTCATCGTGGTACAGCAGGGCATGACACCATCTGCCAAACAGGTGGGTGCATCTCTGTGTCCCCTTATCTAGCTTTACTTCCTCAAGAGCCTCCTCGCCCAGAGGAGTGTCCAGCTGGCTGCTCATACACCTCATGCTAAGACCCAGGTTGAGGTCTTCTGGAGGAAGTGGCCAGTGTTTACCACAAGCCCTGATCATCTCTACTTATGTGCCTCATTTCCCCTTCTGGCTACTGCCTCCTGTGATCCCAGGCCAGGTAGTTTTCACCCCAAATGGTAACTGTCCTTTCCTCTGGCTGTCTGGAAGGGAGTAAGCAGTAAGCTCTGTACCCGTCAACTCCTGAGGATGTATGTAGGCCCCACATCCTGATGCTGCTTTGGGGTCTCAGAGGGTCTTTATCCTGTTGGCCTCTGAGTGATTATCCTGCCTGGAAAGGAATGAGGTTTTACCCAGTGAGGGTGCCTAGCAGACCCCACCCCCTTTGCTCAGTAGGGAGAAAAGTCAAGGCACAGGGTCTATAGGTGGCCTACCCATGTCTATTTGTTGGATAGAACTGAGCTGAAGGGTATGTTGTGGTTGGCAGACAGCCCAGCACTTTTGTCCCTGGCCCACCCAGGATACTATGCGAGTTGCAAAGACAACTAATATGAGCAGTCTGACAGATGCAAAGGAACCCAAGTCCCAGCTGCCATTCCAAGGCTGTGGAGACCTGAGGCCTGGCCCAGGGGACTGGGGGACTCTTCAACATGGAGGAGCACACAGGGGTTGGATTTTTCTTTTCTTTTTATTTTGAGACAGTCTCACTATGTCCCCCTCAATAGAGTGCCGTAGCATTCATGATTCAAAGCAACCTCCAACTCTTGGGCTTAAGTGATTCTCTTGCCTCAGCCTCCCACATAGCTGGGACTACAGGTGCCCGTCACAACATCCAGCAATTTTTTGGTTGCAGTTGTCATTGTTTAGCAGGCATAGGCCGGGCTTGAACCCCCCAGCCTCAGTGTATGTGGCTGGTGCCCTACTCACTGAGCGACAGGCACTGAGCCGGGGTGGGATTTTTCTCATCTGTGATGTGGGATGTCCTGTTGAGGCACAAGGGTAAACCCTGCTTAGCTTCAGGGAGGAAATGGAATGGGAGTTGTCTTGAGAACACTGGCTCAGGAAGGGCTGCTTCCTCTGCCTGGTTATGTGTGAGGGTCTTGTCTCTTTTAGTCTCTGGTCGACATGGCTCCCAAGTACATTCTGGAACAGTTTCTGCAGCAGGAGCTGCTCATCAACATCACAGAGCATGAGGTATGTCTGGGGGGGTGGAGGCTGCAAACATGGCCCTTACCCTTAGCCCCCAACTTATTTGGGGCCGAGGAGATGCAGGATCTGGGAATGGGCAGGAAGATGCCAGAGATGAGTCCAAGGGCTGGAAGAACAGGGCCCTCAAGGGTGGCCCTGGTGTGTAGCAGTGGTACATGGGACTTTGCTAGAAATGCAGGTCCCAGGCCCACCCTGGCCTGCAGAGTCAGGAGGTAGTGGGTGTGGAGGGGTCCTAGTATAGCTAATGTGATAGGAAGAACCCCAATCAAGGTGACTATGTCCCTGGTTGGGCCCCAAGTGACATTTATATCAGAAGCACTAGGGGCTTCTCACTGTAGGCTCCAGCCTCCCAACCTTGTGTACAACCAGAGTAGGGGATAGGGGTTTGGCCTAGGAAACTTACAAACACCCAGTTGTGGTTTGTTTATTGCCCATCCTGTGCCCTCTCCCAATTTCCCCTCTTCTCTGTCTTGGGAGGTTGTGATAACCACCCAAGGAGTCCAGTAGGATCTGTCTTATTCCTGGTGACAGCTAACAGGTTTCTTTCTTTGCAGCTGGTCCCAGAGCATGTCGTCATGACAAAGGAAGAGGTAACAGAGCTGTTAGCCCGATAGTATCCTTCCTGGTGTACTGGCTTTCCCCCGGCCCCCTGGGCTTTTCACATCTCACACTCCACACACATACCCCAAACAGCCTAGCCTGGCATTTTCCCTGACCATGCTTCCCAGCAAACTCCGTGAGAACCAGCTGCCCAGGATTCAGGCGGGAGACCCTGTAGCGCGCTACTTTGGGATAAAGCGTGGACAGGTGAGACTTTTCCAGGAGAGGGGAACCCCTGGCTGCTCTGAGCTGGCTACCTCAGAGGCATTCAGGAGCACACTCCAAATACATCTCTTAAAGCCAGGGCCTCTGGGGAAGAAAGAAGAGTGTAATCCCCAGGTCCTTCAGGAGCAAGTCTCATGGCCCACCTGCCTGCTATTCCCAGCCCTGTCAGCCCCCTCAACTCCTGCTCTCCTGCTTCCCAGGTGGTGAAGATCATCCGGCCCAGTGAGACAGCGGGCAGGTATATCACCTACCGGCTAGTCCAGTAGTTGCTGCCTGGCCAGGTGAGACAGCAGGAGGGCAAGAATCAGAGGTAGTGCTTTCTTTTATCAACCCCTGTCCATGTTCAGAAGGTGGTCGCTCCTTCCTAGGATTGAGCCACACTCATTGCCTAGCTACCAGCCTTGGCCCTGCTGAGGTTCTTACTCCTAAGTGCCTAGTGCAGCAGTTTTCAACCTGTGGATTGTGATGCCTTTGGGAGTCGAACAACCCTTTCACAGGAGTCACCTAAATACATCTTGCATATCAGATATTTACATTATGATTCATAACAGTAGCAAAATTACAGTTATGAAGTAGCAACAAAAATAATTTTATGGTTGGGGGTCACCACAACATGAGGAACTGTATTAAAGGGTCGCAGTGTTAGGAAAGTTGAGAACCACTGGCCTAGTGCCTTGGGCCTCTAGGCACTCCCACAACATTTCCAGACCCCACCCAGCCTGTACCTCCCACAACACTTCCAGACCCCACCCAGCCTGTACCTCTCACAATACTTCCAGATCCCATCCAGCCTGTACTCTGCAGCTCCCACAGTTTCTGTGCCTGGGAAACAAGATGCTGATGACCTCCCTGACTCCCCTAGCCTCCCATATGTCCTTTACCCACATAGCAGCAAGAGGTGGCACTTTCTAGAGGAAGATTTGGAAACCTCACACCTGGGGAGAAGGGGCACTTTCAGGCCCACCCAACCGTGAGCAGCCCTCTGGATTTCCACCACCCCCATCCATACCTGAATGTGCTATCCTGGCAGGTGGCCCATGGCACCTGCACTCCAGGGGAGGGGCACAGACCGGGCCCAACACTAAAGCTCTGCTGTTACAGCATCCTTTTAGGTCTGAGCCACTGTTCATGCCTGTGTGGCTGCCAGGCATAGTAAGCTTCCCACCTTCCTACACTGTGACCTCTGTGTTCTCCACTCTAGGCCTATTGAGTGTTTTCCATGCTCAGTGAAATTGGCATGGGGCTGCCCAGCCCGTGGTAACTTCTTTCCTGTCCAGACCCTGGAGATGAAGAGACAGTGACCACCATCATCTTGAGGACTCATGCCCCTGCCTGTGGGAGTCTGGTTCCCTCAAATTTTGCCACTGTGCCTCTGGACTCCCCAAGGCAGGCAGCCGCTGCCTTGGTTCATCTTTCTTGGGTGAGGCTTCCCAGGACCTGGCCTGCTTGATTCACCTGTGGATCCTTGAATGACAGGGCCTCAGGAGGAGCAAGGCCCCAGTAAGGAGGAGAGCGGTGGACAGCTGATGACACATGGCAGTGCTGGATCCTTGTCTAGTCTGTACTGGCTCCCAGGCAGGGGGACTTGGGGTCTGTGTCTCCTGCCTGGCTTGTCAGGAGCTCGGGCTGGATCTTGGGCCTGTGTACATGGGCTGCACCTCCACTAAGCCTTGGCTTACACCCTTGTGTTCTCTAAATTCAGCAGGGTTCAAGATTACAATTTACGTAGAGTTCTCAGTTGCCATAGGATGTTAGATATTTCCAAACTTTAAAGACATTTTGAGTAAATAAATTTGCTTGTTTCACAAACCAAGGCCAAATAGTTTTCAGTGGGGGGCTTCTCTCCAAGCACACAAAGTCAACTTGATGGGATTCTCGCATTCTCAGGGGCCCTAGTTTGCCCCCAAACAACCTTTCCCACCCCCACCCCCACCAAGTGGGGCCCACCTCAGTACTCATCTGTCCTTCCCATGTCTGCAGGTGTGAGTATGTCTTTGTCTCTTTTCCCCCATACAAGATGTGGGAGTAATTCTCTGGTGGATGCAGCTCTTCATGTCGCTTCTCTTGCATAGAAATTTGGGATCAGGCTCGGCGCCTATAGCTCAACCGGCTAAGGCGCCAGCCATGTACACCTAAGGT